CTATCTATCTATCTATCTATCTATCTATCTACCTATCTATCTATCTATCTATCTAAAGAGAGAGAGAAAGAAGAAGCATTTTACAGTTTCATGCATCCGTAAATAATCATTCACTGGGGATTTACCACCAAGAGACAAAAAGTTTCTATTTGTTTGGATATCACCAAATAATGATTAGCTTTACTGACAAAGATATCATGTAATGCCAGAGCTCCGTAAAGAACCTGCCTCTCTCAGAGTTTTTTTTTTTTATGAAATAATGATTTATATATTTTCATTGGAAAGTCATATATATATGTATTTCTCTATATATAGATCTGTCTATAGATAGATAGGTCTATATATATATATCCTATATAGAGATATACACATATAGAGAGATCTATAGATATATGTATCTATAGAGTTATATATTTATATATCGATAAATATCTATAAATATACCTCTAGGGCCCGGTGCGGTGGCGCAGTGGTTAGGGTCCTCACCCTGCACGCCTGGGATCCCACGTGGGCGCCGGTTCTATCCCGGCAGCCCTGCTTCCCTTCCAGCTCTCTGCCTGTGGCCCGGGAAAGCAGTGAGGACGGCCCAAGGCTTTGGGACCCGGCACCCACATGGGAGATCTGGAAGAGGCTCCTGGCTTCGGATCGGCATAGCATCGGCCCGTTGCGCTCACTTGGGGAGTGAATCATCGGGTGGAAGATCTTCCTCTCTGTCTCTCCTCTCTGTATATCCGCCTTTCCAATAAAAGTAAAAGTAAAAATAAATCTTGAAAAAAAAAGATATACCTCTATATATCTGATTTCAATATATCTATAGATACAGATATAGATATAGGTATAGGTATAGATATATAGATACATAGATATATTGATATAGAGAGATGTTCTGTCCATTCCATCACTCCCGATTCGGCTGCAACAGCCAGAGCTGTGCTGATCCAAGGCCAGGGCCAAGAGCTTCTTGCGGATCTTCCATGCAAATGCAGGGTCCCAAGGCTTTGGATCATCCTTGACTGCTTTCCCAGGCCACAAGCAGGGAGCTGAATGGGAAATGGAGCCACTGGTTCACAAACTGGCACCCATTTGGAATCCTGGTGCATGCAAGGCAAAGACTTTATCAACTAGGCTACTGCACTGGGCCCCGTCTCTAGGAGTTTGCCAAGGCTTTCAGAACAAGCATTTAGCCGTTTCCAAGGTGTAGAAACAGCAAACACTAGGGCCCCCTCCTACTCAAGTAACTTACATCTTCATACATTGTACATTCAAAAATCGGACTCAGATTAGTTTTTGCAGCTTTCTGTATTTGTGAAGGTCTGACCTCCTTTGAATACAATCTTGGGGGAGAAGCTTTCCTAAAACATCCTCAAAAAGTAAGTTCAAGCAATTGAAAAGGTCTCATCTGCTCTGGCTTCTGCATCCCAGCTCCCAAGTCCTACACTCTCAGTTTCACTCTACATTCATGTCAGATTCATGTTTTCATTTAGCTCATGGCATTCCGAAGAAGTTCACTACAACCTGTCCTACATAACGCTGCTGGCATCATCCTGACGATTTTGTTGCTGTTGTTAAGTCTAGACCATTACTGAATATTTTCGTTGATATTTCATTTGAGCCAGCATAGTGGTATTCAGTAATACTTCATATTTATTGTAAAGAGATTTAAGTTACTTTTACAAATAAATATGTGCCCATGCAGTGTCTTCTGTACACATTTTTTTTTTATATTTAATTCCTTATCATCATAGAAAGTAATGATTTAGTAGAAGTTCTAGTGTATTTTTCCTACGGTGAATTATTTTTTTTCTTTCTGGCACCTGTGTTTAGAGATACGTCCTTTATTGATTTCTAATTCTAGTCTTACTCAATTTATCATTAACCTCAGTGGTCAAAACTTCCTAAAATTGTATTCTGGATAGCAACTGCTGTACAAGCAGCAGCAGCGGCAGCAGCAGCAATGAGCAGCAGTGTCCTACTTTATGCTTTAGGGAAAAATAACAGCTGTAGGAAAAGGAAAAAAGAGAAGTTGTGAACCTACACATGGAAAAAAGAGTATGTGTAGACAAACTGCACGGAAGGCCATACTTGTCGTGGTCGCAGATCTTCTCATCTGTTGACATCACCACTTGAGCTAGAGATCTGGATGCACAGGTCCCAAACACACAAAGCAAATGCGTATGACTCCCGCCCATCACAAAAGCACAAGGTAGAGAACTTACCAAAGATCTTTCGATGTGGTTTTATTTACTTCTTAGAAAGAGCTAAATCCTCAGTGTATATATGGAGAACTCTTAATGCGATGACTTGCCTGGCACATTTTCTAGTACACTGATGAATATAAGCACAATAAGAATTAGCTTAAAAATCGTAATATTCCATTAGCTGGGTCGTATTCTTGTTTTTAATACACACTCTTAATTCTTTGGAGCATTGCAGTTTGTTGCAACTTTTTGTAAGTTACATACAATTACCTTTATGAATCTGAAAAATTTGAGTGTTCTAGGAAAAATATTCATCTCTTGGTGATAAAAATTACATTTGCATTCTCCAGGCGCTTCATAGCCACATGTGGAACATCATGACTAATCGATATTAAGGAAAAATCTGAGGCAATGGGTATTAAAACTGGTTAACTTTTCTCCGTGTCCTCAGTATGAATAATCGATTGGGATGATTATCTCATTGAAAACGTTTAAATCATATGGTAGCCATTTTTTACATAAGGGATAAACATTAGTGATTTAAATCGAAGTTTATAAAGCATGAATTTCTTCTTTCGCTAAGCACCAACTTTTTCTCTGTCATCAAATGTGCTAACAGTTGGCTGGCCTAATTGCATACTAACCAGTATAGTCCTCTACATTTTTAATATGTGTAGTAGTCAATCTAATACAGTCTACTCATGGTGACAGGTTGTGGTGTGTCTGTTATGCATAAATCACAGAGTATGATTTTAGTGTTTCCCACAGGTTCTAGTTTAAACTTTTCTCCGTAGAAATTCTCAAGTGAAGGCCTAAGTAGCAAACCATAAGCATGTCCTCAATCAAATATGTAATTTAGAGAAATAAACACATATTGTAGAGTTGCCTGAAAATGTTCACCAGGCGAAAATAAAGGTTAAGTCATCAATCTTTCAATAATTCCCTAAATAATCAACCAAGATTGATATGATTACTTTTTTCATCTTTGCTTGCCTCACTAGAGATTTAAGCCTTTTATATTGCTCAGTATTAAGTGATAAAGCATCTAACTAGAGCTACTTTGCTAGTGAATGTGTTTTCTGATGGAACAAGCACAAAAATGCCCATTATTCTACAGAGCACATCATGTTGTATTTTAGTGTTGTATTCTTAGACACTGTTGAAGTTTAAAGATTTTTTTTTTTTTGTAAATGGGATTATCTGTTTTTGTGCACGAAAAATTTAATCTACTAATTAAATACCATCATTGAAAATAAAGATACACAAATAGTGATTGGTGACAGACATTACAATCCAAGGACATGTACTTGGAAAAGATTACTTAAACTGTTATCCTGGGGCTATTCCTTACAGACAAAATGAATTCTAACATTGAGCCATTGATGCTTGAATTTTCTCCAGTGGAGCAACAGTATGAATATCTTAGTCTAAAAATAAATGCTCAAGGTGGAAGGACAAAAAAAGCACACTTTTATTTTCCTGCATAATAGAATTGTGCTTATGTGTGTATGCTCCTCTCAATTCCAATTTTGGTATCTCAAGTTGCATTATAACCACAGGAGAAAAAAACTTTCTTAGGGTAAATCATTGAATAAAAATATACGGCATTCATCCATTTACTTAGTTGATTGTGTTTTTTCTTGTAGTAAACCTTTTCTTGTTTTCAGAATAATCCCTAATCCCTCATTTTAATTTTCTGTGAATCTTGAATATATTCTCTAAGAACTTCCATATAAAAATAGGAAAAAGACAGGAAAATTGAGAAAAAAAGAGAATGAAACGAGAAGGGAAATTTGGGCATATGACTGAGTGGAAAGTAATTTAGTTATATAATAGATTTTCATTTCCTATAAAGGAGAAGGAAAAAATGGACTAAATATTTACGGAGCCCTGAAGAGTAAAATAACATGTCTGCTGAATGTAGTTGAGTTTATACAAGGAGGCTTAAATACAATGCACAAAATTACTTTATTGCTGTGATTTTAAAAGGAATTTAATGAAACAATTGAATTATGATGCCTTTATAGAGCATCAAAATTATTGATTTAACACTCAAAGATACTATGCCATATTGATATTTCTTATGTTTGTATCCAAATTCATGCATTTCAAGCCATCCTAATTCTCTTCACTTTAATTAAAAATTTGTTCATGCCTAAAGTAAAGATCAATCATGTAAAAATGGACAGAAAATAAGTGATATTGCAAGAAAATATCTGATTGGAAGGATACCTTTTCTTGGTTGATGCACATGGACTAAGTATGCAACTTAATTTGGGGTGCTAATTATGCACTTCAGTTTTTATTTTTATTCTCTATTCTATAGGTTTGTAGCTATAGGGCTTCTCCCCCTTTCTTCCTCCTCTTCTCCCCTTCCCATTTATAATCCTTCAGCTGTAATCTGGACTCCAATGTCTGCTCCTTACGTGTGTCATGACATCGTAGGTACCAGCAGTGCTAAAGAGTCTAGTATTTTGTTATCTAGGTATATTTAGCAGTTTTTTATTTGGGGGGGTGGGAACCTACTTTAATTCAGGATTAAAGATGAGTAGTACATTTTAATTTTTTTTAACAAGGCACTCCATTTTGTTGCACAAGAATTCCGGTGCTATTTTTCTGAAACAATTAAAAAATGAAGCAAAGAAGCAGGAACAGCAGAACAAAATTGTGTGTTATTGGAGTATTGACATACTTTGTAAAAAAATATATTTACAGTAACCAATTTGGAGCTGATTTTTATTTTTGTTTTTGTTTTGTTTCATTTTCCTTTGCTTCACTTGCCACCATTTTATCCTAAATCAGCGGAAATCCGAGGGGAAAAAGGCAGGAAAGGTAAGATTGTAAATTTCACAGAAAATTGATTTCAAAATGTATTGTGCTTTTTTTAAAAAAAAAAAAAACAAATTCCTGAAGCTATGCTAGTAAATCCATGGAATTAAACCAGTAAGTATTTAAGATGACGTATGTTATGGTTCTGCCTTAAAAGAGATTCAAGTTAGCTGCCTCTATATTTTGTATCACAAATCCTGGAAGCAATTGTCAAGTCTTTTGTTTTATTTTATTTTTCACCAATACTTTCTTTTCCCACTGTGCCAAAACAAGATACTGTTAACAGTATTGCTTTGTGAATGTTCTGACAATAGTTATTTTATGATAAATTTAGCGCTAAAAAACAGCCATTTTAGTGTCAATTCATATTGTAACAGTGACAGAGAAATGTTGGTAACTGTATTTGAAGTCAAAGGGTCACATGAAAGTACTTTAACTAAAGTAAACTTGGCTCATAAGTAAAACAATGCTCTTAGATAAATAACTTTAGAATTTTATCTTCCAATATGAAAAAATTAAGTTCTCACCCGTAAATTGTGGAGTGTCTTTTAAAAAAGTTGGTTTCTACTGTTAAAACAATAAACTATGTCACATTACTGTTGAAGATGAAGTACCTCATTAGTTGAAGTATAGTGCTGTGAAAAGTAGAGTTCTTCATGTGTTCACTAACTGTTTTCCTAGCACTTATGACTTGCTTGCATTACCATGTTCTATTGTTGAAAGAAGGGAGTTTCACTTCAATATCTGATAGAATATGGTTTGGAAATGAAATCCAGTAAGCTTTAAACACTCTCCATTGTAGGCATCAAAATATGTCCCTTAATGTTGCCAGATTAAATGTCTGTATTCTTCAAGAGTAAATGTCTTATGCTAGTTTGAGAATGCAAATTTGAGATTTGAAAAGAAATTTGCAAGAGTTTGATTTAGACTTTGCCAGGTGAATGATTAGTTAGCCTTTGTTGTTTTTATCAAGTATGAGAATTCTGTGAAAAATGGGTTTTTAGTAGGATATTAAAATATGTTTTATCAATTTTGAAACCAAAACAATAGCATCAGAGCATTCTAAAGCAATATGCTTTTCTGAATGTTGCCAAATACCTCTCTGAAATATCTTGAATAACAAAATGGTCTTCGGTGATGCATTTTTGAATGTCAGCTTCCCCGACATGGTAACAGAGTTCTTCCATTCAAGGAAGTGTGCTTCTTAGATTTTCAGTGCTATAATAGGTTTAACTATTGACGCAAATTTAGAAATTGACCTACTGATTGGTTATTTAGAAGTTGTAATTGTGGGGAAAAAAGATATTTTATTCTGCAGAGACCCATGTCATTGCTTTAGACTCTGCAGACAGTGTTCTGGCTTGAACCCATGTTCCCACACAGAATACTTTTAGATCATAACATTTAACACTTAATTGTAAAACATCAGTATAATCATAATATAACAAGCATTAGAAAATGACATTTGTGAAGAATGATTTTCTTTAGATTTATTTATTTTTAGAAAGCAGAGTAATAGAGCAGAGAGATTCCAACAGCTCATTCACTCTCCAAGTGCCCAGAGCACTGGCCAAAGGCTAGAACTCCATCCAGGTCTCCCACTTGGGTAGCAGAGGCACAAATACTTGAGCCATCTTCTGCTGCCTTCCTAGACCTATTAACAGGGAGCCGGATTTGAGGTGGAATAGCTTGGACTTAAATTAGCACCCATGCAGGATGACAATATTGCAGGTGCAGCTCAACTCGCTGCACCACAATACTGACCCTCTAGGATAATTTCTTTTGTCATAAGAGAACACATCTGCACTCATAATTCAGAGGAAATATCAGGGAAGAAAAACACGGGGAGATGATTGAATCCAAACTCTGCAAGAGACTCAACAATGCAATTTCAAAGGCTTCTTTTTTATAGAACAGAAGAGGCAAAGAGATAGAAGCAGAATGCGTTAAGGGAAAGCTGGACAAGCCAGATAAATGTTCAGTGTGGTCCAAGAATAAGGGGGTCTTACTGTGATCAAGTGAGTTGCAGGAAAAGCTGATGATAGGAAATAATTATAATTTTATAGTACTTTGTTGGGCTTAGATTTCAACTGCTTATAGGAATGAGGACCCTGACTGACGTTTGATCAAGACAACAGAGCAATCAAAATGGGCAGTTTTGAACACTTGATCTTTTTCCCCCCATTCCATCTTACTTTAAATATTTAATAAGCCTACTTGGACAGACATTTAACCTCTAGCACCTAAGCATTCTAAATACCCTTGTCCCACATTAGAGTATCCATCTCTGCCACCTGACTCAAGCTTCCTGTTAATGGCAACCATGAGAGGCAGCAGTGATGGCTGAAGTAGTTGGTTCCTACAACTCACACTTGAGACTTGACGTCTCAGTTCTTGGCTTTTTTGTAGCCCCGTGCCAGCTATTACAGATGTTTGGGAGAATAAGTGAAAGGATATTATCTCTTTGTCCTTCAAATTAATGAATTCAGGAATAATTTTTATAATATTGTGCTTTCAATGTTCCAGTAATGTAAATATATGTGTGTATGCATACATGTTTGTGCGTACATGTGTATATAGGTTCACTTACACAAATCCAATTAGAGTTTCTCTATTTATTTGATCTCTATAATAACCCGACAAACTCTTCTGCAGATGAGGAAACTGTAACAAATATAGCATAAATGACTTGTCTAATGTCATGGAGCTCACAAGTAGAAGAGCCAGAGTTTTAACCCAGAAGCAATCTTTGTCGTGTTTTATATATAAATCTGTCTATCTATATGTATTTATTTATGAATATATGTACGCATATATTCATATGTATGTGAAGGGGGCTGATGCCATGCTGTAGCAGGTAACATTATTGTCTGTGGCACCAGTATCCAATTAAAGTTTCAGCTGCTCCACTTCCTATCCAGCTCTCCGTTAAGATGCGTGGGAAAGCAGCAGAAGATACCCCAAGTGCTTTGGCCCCTTCATGATATAAGAGGTTCAGATGAAACTCCTGGCTTCTGGTTTAACACTGGCCATGTTTTGGCCATTGTGGGAATGAACCAGTGGATGAAACATCTCTCTCTCTCTCTCTCTCTCTCTCTCTCTCTCTGTCTGTCTCTCCTCCTCCTCTCCATAATTCTGCCTTTCAAGTAATATAAATCAATCATTAACAAGATAAAATGAAAATGTAAAAGTTTAGGATTATAACAAAAACACTTTCTTCATATCAAAATGACTTTTTATTGCATTTCAACTGTATTATGCAATACATTTACTGTTGTAAGATGCTACATCACTGTTGCACAACAATCATCAAATTGTTTTCACAACTCTATTGTCAGTCAATACCTAGCCGGATATGATATGGCTATCATATACCATAGAGATTGCAACTGTCCTCTAATGTCCTTTATTTTTGGTTCATTGCATTTATGTATAGCTTTTGAAGGATATTTTCAATATGAAATTCAAGAAGCCATAAACCTAAAATATATTAAGTGTCAGAATATTCATTAACTCTGGATTTATTGCAAATGTTTCCATAAAAAGTTGAATTAATCTCTTGAACTCCTGAGCTTCTCCTACTTAGCTCTTTTTAGTGAATTGTAAAATATGACTTATGTTCAGTTTAATTTAAAGTGAAAAATACAAGAATCCCAAATTTGTGAAAATATAAGGCAATCATATTATCTTGACTAAAAAGAGACATCTCTAGATGAATGCTACTGTCTTTTAGATGCTGAAACATCAAAAGATAGGAAAATTTCTCAATGACTGCCCTAGATTTAAATTTAGATGACTTCAGAAGCCTCACCAAACAGGACTGTAGATTGCAAATCAGAGGTTTAGGTTACAGAAACCTACTTTTTTTTTTTTAAAGATTTATTTTTATTATTTTTTCATTGGAAAGGCGGATATACAGAGAGGAGAGACAGAGAGGAAGATCTTCCGTCCGATGATTCACTCCCCAAGTGAGCGCAACGGGCCGATACTATGCCGATCCGAAGCCAGGAGCCTCTTCTGGGTCTCCCACGCGGGTGCAGGTTCCCAAAGCTTTGGGCTGTCCTCGACTGCTTTCCTGGGCCACAGGCAGGGAGCTGGAAGGGAAGTGGGGCTGCCGGGATTGGATCCCGGGCGTGCAAGGGGAGGACCTTTAACCACTTGTGCCACCGCGCCGGGCCCAGAAACCTACTTTTTAAAACCCACTCTTAAAAGATTATTTCACCAAGAAGCTAGTGTCAAACAGCAGAATCAAATGAAATCTTATACACCAGGGTTCAATCATTACACATCAGGTTGGTATTCAGCTCAATAATAGCTAATTAGGAAGACAAACACATTTGAACACGTAACCACCTGTGATTGATTAAGTTGTGTAAGCAGTGCTTATCTTAAGGAAGTCTGATTTTGTTTGCCTAATAGTTTGTTAAAAATCCCCTGTCCTTGTTCTTTTGATTCAGTCTGCTGTCTTTCCCTTGTTATTATTAACCTGTGAATCTCCATGTAGGCATTCTTCTTTAAGATCCCTCCCCTCCTTGGCAAAGTCTGAGCTTAAATTGCCCTCAGGGTTTGCACAAATGGCCAGTCTTGTTACAGACTGTGTTCACCAAAGTGCTAAACTGAAGATGGCAGAAACAGAACTGGCTGAGATTCTCAAAGGAGTATATTTCTGCTTTCTTTATATCTGCCTGAGGTGAATTTACAAAGTGCCTTCTCTCTGACTAGTGTAAGAGGTAGAGAAAAGGAGTTAGAGTAGCAGTATGAGTAAAAGCCTTTCTGTCATCTGCTTGTCTTCTTCAGGACTCCTGTCATTTGTGTAGTCATTTGCTCCAAGGCTACACGAAGATGAGGGAGGGAATAAGAGTACTTGTGTGAACATGTGTTAAAATGCACATTTTGCTGTTGTCTCCAAAGTACTTTATCTTCTTCTCTGTTCAACAATCCAGAAATTTTGGAAATTGTTTCTTCAAAAATTCCCCTGAAAGCACAATTTCGGGATTTCATTA